TTGCGGCCAGTTTTGATTTTCACGATGGAACGTTCGCGAACGAGCGTTTCTGGCTGTGCGCGCAACGGGAACAGCTTCCTCCTCTGTATAAATTACCCGCTTGATTGGACGCAAGCTCGAGCTCGAGCCTCCGTCTGAACGGAAGGTCGCTCTACGCTCTATGTGAAATCGAAAGAATGTCATCGTGCTTGATTTCTTCCCTCCCCTTTCCCTCCCATATTTTTTTCTTTTTCTTGTTTTTTCTTTTCTACGCAACGTTCCTAACTTGGCAACCAGTTCAACTCTCGTTATAATAATACGCGTGTATTATTAATTTAATTTCGTCAGCGTTTCGCGTTTCGCTCGATCGCCGAACGCACTCGCGAAGCAAATCGTGTCCACGCGACACCGCGACGATTGTCTCTGGTTTCACGTCTGCCCACACTCTGCCTCGATGCTCGCCAAAGGCTTGGCGATGTTCATACGATACCGATGTGCGCAACGGAATCGATTTACACGGCGATGAGCTTCATAATAGCGGTCGGCGTTTTATAATTAGACTCGAGCGGGTTCCAATTGTGCGTGGACAACGTTGATACGTTACCGATCTCGCAGGTATCAAGACGCTCATTTCCGTGCAGCCGTTGGAAAATTCTAGAAAATTTTACTTTATTCGGCAAATTAAATGGCTAGAAAAATATTAATAATCGTAGTCAGCAGTGGTTCGCGATAGATCGAGTAAAACGTTCTGGATTTTTTTTCGCGGAGTATCTCGATCGTCGCAACGACTCGATTTCCAACGAACGAAACAATGGCCCTCTCTCTTTCCGTTTCCACCTGTTGCGGAAGTTACACCCATGTTTCACTCTCCGTTCGCGACGCACGCAACGTTCGTTCTCGTTTCATTTATCCCTAATCTTTATTTGTTCTTTATTCGTTACGAAGCGAACTCGAAACTTCTGCACTGAAACTGAAAACTTCCCTCTTGAGGAATCTACATTAAGATTCAAAGCTTTGTATGTACGTCAATTCCAATGATTCGACATAATCTC